GTACCTGAGAGTGCGGGAACGCTGAATTTGAATGGGCAAGGTTGAGCGTGGGCAGGGGTCATTACCCCAAAATTTCAACCTCCTAGACTCCGTGGTTCCCGAGATATTAATTTACCCGTAAAAAAAATTTCACGGGACCGTACATGTTACCCGCGGGTACGGGGAAGCTGAATTTAAATTTGCGAGTTCACACGTGGGTGGGGAACGTTCTCCTAAATTTTGCAGCTTCCTAGCTTTTGTGGTTCCCAAGTTGAAAGTTGCGGACAAGTTACTGCGGACGCACACACACACATACACACAGACGACCTCGTGACAACATGCGTTTTGTGCTGCTGTTGCACAGCACAAAACGCATAATAAAAACGAGGAGCGAAACTTTAACTTACTATTTTGACAGTGCGTTCCATACGTTAGGAGCATGGTGAATTGCATTCAGGAAGCTTGATGTGCTTTTTGAAGCGGAAGAAAAGATAATGAATGGTCAGTTGAGTGATACAAGTGTGCTGGAGCTGATGCGCCAGTGCAGTGATCACCAGGACGCTCTACGGGTCATGCTCATCAATTATCTTTGTTCCACTAATATTAGTGCGGTAAGCGGGGTTTTCTTTGCAACACTCTAAAACCCTTTAAAACTACTGTTCAACGATTCTTTTCAATTAAGCTAAAATACTGCTTCTTAAACTCTAGTCGATAAGGCATCTTCTCTCATCGTGGCTTAGAATTAGCGACGTTCAAGATGATGTGGCAATAGACGAAAAATTCTAAGAACTCAAAACATCTTAAACTTTATGCGATGGGAGCCATATCGTTGATTTTCCCTACAGGACCCAAAAACGATCAAAAGGATTGTCAGCAAGCCCTCCGCCGAACAGTGCGTCATTAGTCAAAACAACAGGACTTCTCCAGTGTTTTCATTAATTGACAAAATTCGGCTGTGTTCCTCTCCATGGTGGGCCAGCAGTGTCAGACAAACTGCACATTACGACAAGTAGACGATTTCAGACCCCCGCCCTCTTCTGGTCTTCTAGCCAAGGATATTCTACAACACTTGATAGTTCCAGAATTAAAGAACTAGGCTATGAATAAGAGCTAATCTAAATATTCTGGGTATAGCTGCTACAATTTGTCGATTTACCCATACTGAAGAGATAAGCCCGGGCTTCTTTTGCTCCTGGTTGAAAATATATGTGCAATTCATGGTTATCTATATAGAGTTGAGACTGTGGACGCTTATATTTGGTGTATTTTGTTCAAGGAGCACATCGGGAGGTAGAATGATCGCGGAAAGTTATGGTAATAGCTAGCTGAATGGGATGTTGCAGGGGCTTCAATATAACGCTATGGAATAAAACTACGCATTCATAATTAACAAAATGTAGTACATATGATTTGGGTAGGGACTCCATAACCCGTA